ATGCTTCCTATCGAGAAATATCGGTTCAACGTCTGAGTAGTGTTAATATAGAATTATAAAAACACATAAATATCATCTTTATCAATTGAAACATTGGAACTACATCTAGATCTAAATGAATTTATCAATAGAATGAATTTCGTAATGCATATTATGCTTAAAACAGTTCATGAAAATTGGGGCATTTAACTAAAATATTATTTCCCGATAAAGCTACTTTTAAAAGTAGGGAATTAGTAAATAGACGTAATATTTAATATTACGTAACAGATAGCCCACACCCCCATATTATGTAAAAAATTGAAAGGAAATTCACAAAACAGAAACCTAATATACAGACTGGTCCGAATTGTATTCCGGAAACTTCGGAAGCAAATACTGCAAACAAAAATAAGTCAAAAAATTCGCAAATATATGTTCTAAAATGCTTAGTTGTAGAAGTTTCATTTTTATTTCGATTTTTTCCAAATAATTGCAGTAACGTCAATATTTGGATGAAAATTGGTGTCTGGGAGTTATTTGACTTGAGAGATTTGATGCCCCCTACTTATAGAGGGCGCTACGTACATATTTTTTAATTGTGTTAATAGTAATAACTTTTTTTGTGTCCTTATACCAGGATAAAACTACTGAGTAAAAAAAATATGCATTTACGACGTTTTTTACGTAAAAAAGGTCTTTTGATAAAAATCGCTACGAGTAATGGTGCTCGAGATATTTATAATCGAAATTATCAATACCCTGTCATCATTGACATAAATTAAACATGTTGACTAAATAGTTATTAGACTTATATAATAAATTTGAAATGTTTTAGTGGCAAAAGTTCAACAGAAACTGTTTTATCATCATTTTTTTGAAGAAAAATTTATGATTTTTTAATTTAAAAAAATAAAAAGTTCCCGTCATTTCAGTCAAATAACTATCTACTCAACATGTTTATTTTTTGTCAGTAATGACATGTATTGACTATTTCCATTCTAAATATCTTGAGATCGGTTGATCGTAGCGATTTTTAACAAGAGACATTTTTTACGTAAAAAATCACGGAAATGTATATTTTTTCACTCAGTAGCTTTATACAGGAACGGACGAGAAGTTATTACTCTTCAAAACAGTTAAACCAGTGTAGGTGGCACCTCCTATAAATAGGAGTCATATTGACAGCAAAATCAAATTTCTCCTGTTAAAAAACTCCCAGGCACCAATTTTCATCCAAATATTGACGATACATCAGAAATTATTTGGAAAAACTTGAAGTAAAAATGAAATTTTTACACCCTCTATCTCCGAAACTAAGTATTTTTGGACATATATTTATATGAACTTTTTTACTTATTTTTATCTGCCTAATTTGTTGCCGAAGTTTCCGGAATACAGTTCGGACCACCCTGTAGAGCTTTTTCGGAAGCCTCAGTCACCTCAAAATGTATATTAAAGAAAATGTCGGTCTAAGGAGCTATTTTATTGCATAAAATGTTTACTTTAGCGCAGATAAAGTAAGCTGGAAAATAGATTTTGATAAATTTATATATTTTCTGTTAATCAAAAAGAGACACTATACGAGGCGGACTTTATATATCCGCAAACTCTGCCGCTCTGTATCGATTCCACTAATCACAAATTCCGAAATCTTTTTTCCCGATATCATCCGATCCATCTCTTCGTCGTATAGTTTTAACTCACTCGCCCGACCGGATTTTTATCGGCACAAACTCGTTCCGCCACATACATAAAACTTTGCTCCGTTCGGAAATCTTTGGCACTCCGGCGGCGGCGGAAATCTATACCGAACAAATCGAATCAGCCGGCGAACGAACGTCAGTGGGCTTCGGCTCGAAAAATCCCGGGAGAAATGGCGCTCCCGAGCGCCAAATCATAATTACGACGGTGAAATCTAATAAGGACGAGGGTGAGGTATTTTTTGCCCGGATTGAGGCTTAAAAAATGAATCAGGATCCGTTTATAACGTGTGTGTCGAAGATTTTATAAAAAAATGCGTACCAGTGGTGATTTCTCGTATGTTCACATGAAACCCTAAACTTATAATGTCTCTTATGGAGACAAAGTTGTCATTTTGTCATTAATTCTATTTATTGCAAAAACGATTCATCATAGACTTGAAATTTATACACAAAAACCTCAACAAATTTCTTATCTAAGTGCACGATTCGTATACTCGTATTGCCACCGCGCTCGATCGGTGAGCTTTGCGCATCGAGTCGTATCCTCTCCGACATTGTGCTGCGTTGTAGTATTCATATTACTACAGCATCCGGCTGCAGGGTTATTACGCTCATCATAAATTTAATCAAAACATTTTTTCAAAAATGTTTTACATATACTTATCAATAGGGGAATACATTTTTAACAAAGTACGCTTAAACCAAACCAAACCAAACCAAACTTCTACAGTGTGGCGGCTCAAAAAAGTGTGTGTTGATCGGGATGATTTTTTTTAAATGGAACACACTGTATATTATTGCATTTTTGGCTTTCTTTCTGATCACTTGCATAATACTAAGATATTATTAAATATGTTTTGATAGTTTCAGAAATATTAATAAATAAATAAAAAAATATTTTTTTAGCTTTTTAAAAAAAATTAAAAATACAAGAAATATCCTGAAATCAAAACTCTACTAGGTATTTACTATAGTTGGTCTGTACTAACTTTTCTATAAGTATCGTAAGTTATAAAAAATAAGTCGTAATTTTTAAAAAATAAAATATGCTTTTAAGTTTTTTATTAGATATAATACTTAGGAGCTACAGATGCCTGACGCATTGTTGCCGGACCCATATAAAGTGGTAGGAAAAACTTTGAACCGTGGCAACCCCTATTTGCGGCAACTTTTTGATTGGTACCCTATTAAAAATGTGTATACCTCTAGTCACAAATATACATAAAAAAAGGTTTTCATTAAATATTAGGTTTTGAATAAAAATATGATTAGCGTAATAAATCTCGCAACCGGATCTTAGACTATATTTAAACAAGCGGTTCTTTGCTTTGTCTCAGATATGTATATGTGCACTGCTCATCGGAATATTAGATTTAATGGGTCAGACCCTTATGGTCACCAGTACCCCTTGTTTACCGCGACACTATAGCGACGTTCGATGTCTTAAGTTGGCTCGTGTGCACATGTAATCCGTGCACTTGGAAGCGATTAGAATTATTTCCGTCGGATTGGGATGAATTACAAAAATGACTAGTGATGAGCGAGTCTGATCTTCGTATTGCGGTCTCGGTGTTGGCACAGAAAGCAAGACCAAGACTCGTTTTATATACAACACCAAGACCGACAATGCAAGACTAAGAGTTCTGACAAAATACCAAGACTCTTGCATTCCTGCATTTTATTATATTTTCTATTACATTTCCTTTTTATAGAAAATAATTGAAAAAAAAATATTTATTTTTTTATATTATAACTTACCCATCACCCCCTTATAATTTTTTAAATAGAAGATATTAAAAATGTCCTTGCGAAACTAGTAATTTATGGTAGCCATATTTGTATCAAACAATAAGTCATATTGGTATAAAACAAATATAACATTTTGTCGAAACATAACGAATATTACCGTATTAGCTAAATAGTTCACGTTTTTTTTATAAAATTATTATAAGCATAAAAATTTCTGAAAAAAACTACACTAGTTTAATACATCTGTCAAAATTCAATGTAAATAAATATATTTTATTTAATATTAATAAATATTATCCTAATAATCCATTTATATATATATTATTTGTTTTTTTGAGTGTATAATATACTTATTTAGTTTTAAGTGATAATACTATTTAACGCAATATTATTACTAATTATTATTTTTTATTATCAAATTTGCTTGAACTTATTTAGCAGAACATATATATTATTATTTTAACGAAATAATGATTGCACGTTTTGTTTCAGTGTACTCTATATAGGTTTCTATATAGGTACACACAGTATTTCTATATAGGTACACTGAAAAACAGTACCTCTAAAGTAAGACAATGTACCTAATCTATTAACAAAAAAATGTTCTCACATCCATATCACATTTGTACAATATAACTAATTAGGTATAGCAGAAGTAAATAGCGAAAAACAATATGATCGAAAAAAACACTATATCAGCGATGGCTATGAAATGAAGATCGCTGTCATTTTATGTGGAAAATTATATGGACAATGTCATGGATCGTCATTTCTAAGCCAACCGGACGCCTTTTTTCGATCAGATGGTATATCAAATAAGAGAAATAAATCCTCAAGGTAATTATTTAAATTATACAATAACTACATAAAGTTATATAGTTTTGCATATATGGTAAAATAAATTAACTACTTCTTTTTTGTTCTAAATTATTGCTAATATTTTAAGACATTAAATTTGTTCCATACACAGAGTTAATTTATATTCAGATGCTATATCAAATATAATTTTCAAAAGGCTTATACATGCCTATAATGCCTAATGAATGGTAATATTTTACGAAATAATATTTTTTTTATTAAAATCTATTACTTGTTAAATCAAAACAAAATAGTTAAGACCTCAAATAGTTCCTATTACCTACTCCAGTTTATTTAGAATTATTAGAATTTCCTGTATCAAACATTATTTTTGCTTAAAAATTTTAGATTAGAGCTTAATTAAATTTTATTACCTTATTATTTTATTTGTTTAATATTATCTTTCTGGTTTATATAATTTAAATAGTTTTTCATTTTTTTGGTGCATTTTTTACCTAATCAAGCGAAGGATATATACCTCATTAAACTTTAAGCATTTTTTGGCGGTTAGGCAGATTTCTTTTACTAGTAAAAAGCTACTGACAAGTTTGTTTCCGTTTGGGTTCAATAAAAATACAATACTAGGAAGGCAAATTTCATTCACTCCTAACTATTGGATCTTGTTGTGACATTTTCATATGTGAATGAATGAATATGAATTATGTTTATATGAATATTATACAATACGAAAATAAATGTTTTACTTACTTTTATCTCTACCTTTCGGCGTGACTACAGTAAACGCGCTACTCCCGGCTTCCTGCTGCCCACCCGGACTCATCACCGGACTCGCCGGACCCGAGTCCGACACGTTCACTTCCGGACTGCATTCCCTGTGATGATGTCCGCCCCCATTACTACTAAAGTCCAGCGGCATCACAGCCGACCCTGTATTATGTAAACTGAGTTCCAACGCCATATCACTCTCCGCAAAATTGCCCTAACATAAGTATATTCACCGCGAAAATGTCACTATAGTACGTCGAACCGATCACAAGACGCGACAAAATTCCTTTTCGCGACAAGTCCTTTCAAAAGATCAACTTGAACAGCCCTAACGCTCCGTGTTCGTGTAATGTTACAGTTGGGAGACAACTGTTTGTTTGATAGCCTGGAAGCTCTGATAAGCTCGAGATTGGGACGATGGGGAGGAGTCTGGTAATCGGAGCCGAGCGATTCTACCCTCTATGGTAAGCGTGCGTTGGGAAAAGGAGGCGGGGCTAGACGATTAGGCCCGGCCCATATTGACAATCGAATCAATGAATGAAAATAGTAAATAGTTTATGGATTCGAGGTTGTTGTGCGTGCTTTTTTTTTGCTGTGCGGAGTCGAGGTGGCTTTTCATAAAAGTTTTGATTGGGTTTTGACTTTAAACGGTCTTTACTAAAACTTGAATTTTATTAATTTTAAAATTAAGTCATTAAGTGATATGGCCTATCATAACTTAACAAATTATGATTTATTGATCTGTATTTTTAACTTTCTTATACAAGTTGAGTTTTAAATAAGTGCAAATATTTTCAGGGCTGGTAGATTTCGTTAAAAAAAACATATTTCCTCTTTACCGTTTTTTAAATTAGTCCAAAAAAATCCAAGAAATTTTACTTTGAAAATTTCCAAAAAAAAATATTTTTTGCTTAAATTTTGATAACCACTGGATCTTTTCTGTTTTTTTTTATAAATTTAATCCCCTACCTATGTTGCCATATTATTAAGAAATTATGTTTTTTAATTAAAAACTAAAGAAATTCCTCGAAAAATTCCAAAAAATTACAAATTTTCATTTTTTTCTCGAAAAAAAAAATCATAATCATGTTTCTGGGGTGGAAATATACTACCCTTAAAAATATTTGCACTTATTTAAAACGCGCCCTGTATAGCTTAGGAAAAAACTAAGCATATCATTTAAAAATTGGTATTCAAGTAAATTAATTTAAAATTAATAATAGCAAACATATCCTTGCATATGTATTTCTTATTCTTCAATACCTTAATAATGAATATTAAAAAAATATATAGGTTTTAACAAAATAAGGCTAATATACTAAACTGGTCTCGGAACTGGTAATAAATATTAGTAATGTAATTAAACAAACTTATCTATTTGAAAATTTACGGTGATCATCAAAAAATTTTTTTTTAATAAATTCAGTGCTTATGAAAATTATCCGTTAAGACAATACCGTATGATCGAAAATAACGCTATCAAGTTGGCTTGGAAATGATGACCGATATGGCATCCAATGTATACTTTTGTTTTAAAAATCACCCTTGGGCAATTTAGTATAGCAATCTACTAAAATTACATTAACACGGTATTTCATTTTTACTTAATTTGCTATGGTTAAAATACAAAACACTAATCCGATATTATAGTAATTTTGGTTCTATCGGTTCTGTTTAACACTAGTTTAGGATGCACTGGGCTGTAGTAAAGGCGCGTCCACATTGCTCGTGATCCTGCTCGCGCTCTTGCTTCTGATTGTGCTTGCGTTGCTTGCGCTTTCTGTTTGTCGTATTTCTCAAGATCTTTCGGCTCGCAAGCAACGGCGTCTACATTGTAATATTGTAGTGCTTGCGTTCTCGTGCTAGACATGGATGATACCGAAGTATTTTTAACAGCGGCTGCTAGTGCGATCTTTATTGCAAAAGAAAGGAGACAAAGAGAAAAAAGGCGGTGTTGAAGAATCAATAATTTCAAAAGTAGATCTCAGCACAGTGAAAGTAAACATCTACGGGATTTACAGACAGAATGTTTTTTAATATTTTTTATCGCATGTCCGCTACTTATTTTAAAAGACTTATTAACTCAGTTGGCCACCGTATATAAAAAGAAAAAATACAACTGTTAGGAAGTATATTCCGGTTAAAGAAAAAGTTAAATAAAGATAGGCCATAACATTAAGATTCCTTGCATCTATAGAGACTCACATACCAGTTTGGGTTATTTATTCAAAGTTTCCAAGCAAAACATTTCAAAAATAGTTAATACCAGGCGTACTATGCTAAAATATAAATGAAGTTCTCAAAGATCAGATTAAGATAAGTAGGCTGTATAAATATAGTTATAGTTTATTAAAGGTATATTTAATATTATTAATCCAAGAACAACACACAAATATTTGTAATTCTGAACAAAATAAAATAAGAAAAATCATGGTAGTATCATCACACTGCAGTAAATACCGAATCCTATGAATGAAATTGACTAAAAACTTAACAAACAACGCAAACAGCTCGAGCGTCTCGAACCGCCGTAAAGTATGCTCGCATGTCTCCGAATCGTCTCTTTGATGTACCGTGACAGCGCCGAACAGTCGAAACAGGCATTTTATGAGATCGCAAGCACGTGAAGCACCGCGAGCGTCGCGAGCGCCGCGAACATCTCGCTTCGACTGTTTGCCATGTTTCTCGTTTTTCACGTGTTCGTTCGGCCTGCTCGCAAGCTATGTGGACGCAGCTTTACACTTTACACTACATTAGTTCAAATGGTTTTATTCTTTTCAGTCTTCTAACTAAGCTATCGCTATCTAGGAGTTGCATGCTAGGCCTCGATGTTGATGCGCTTATGGAGCGTCTGTTCGTGTCTTAAGAGTCTTTTACGCTGTACCGTACTCAGCGGTCCGATAAGCGGGTGTGCGGCCGAATGAAATATATATTATATTTTAAAAATCTGCCTAACACGACACGATCGGGCTAAGCCACACCCAAAATTCCAAACACACATGCTTTGATTAAGGCTTGATTAAGGTTCGCAGAACTTCAGCATTTGCCATAAAATAGCGAGCAATTTGTTACAAAATCATATAAATTATATATCATTGTAATCACAAAACTTTAATCTTTGTCGGTATTGTAACGGAATTTTAAATTATTTCTTTATTTTTGGGAAAATTTAATCCAAACATAAGGTATATTTTGTTGATGTTTGGCCATCAAAATCTTATAAATAAAAAAGTTATCTAAGAATGTGCTACAATACCGATAATATTTCGGTTGCTTTGTTTGGTTGCCTATAACCAAGTTTGTGAGTTAAATATCATAAGTCTATATTAGTTTCAGGACTTATTGATAAAGTATAAGCATCATTATATATTATATACAGCATTATTATATATTGACAGGGTATAATACCGGCCTAGTAACCAGTACATTTTGCTGTACTTTAATTTGAGTTTTTCACATGCGATTTCCAATTTTATTTCCTTGGTTTAGCATCAAGTTTCATGCCAAGAAAATTAGCTGTAGGTAATTTTGTAAGACACTACTTGTTGATTTATACCTAGATACTGGCTTGTACTCGATTTGTCTATTAGTGAAATCGATATGCACTGATTTTTTTTTCATTCAATTTAATGCTCAATTTTGCTGTCCAGCATTGTATTTCGGCAACAGCAGTTGTAACTTTTCGGTTGACGATACTGCTATGACTGTTACATTTGCAGATGATATCTACTGCAATTCTAGCCACCGCATACAACCTTATAGATACTTAATTTTACAAATAAAATGTTAGCGATCTTATTTTCCAAGCCAACTCTGACACCGTTTTTTTTTCGATCATAAAGTACCTACATAGTTGTAAAATTTAAGTTTTATAGTCTAGATACACAGCGAATAATATGATTTATTAAGTGATTTGTATTTAGCGTTCTTTAGATACCTATATCATCAGGTAAATAATCATGTTTGATCCTGACAATACCTAGAGAATTTAATAATCAAAATATAAATTATTTAGCTTTTAATATTATCTTCTACAATAAATAAATCAAACTACGTAGTAGTTGCCATAAATTATAAAATATCATAAAATACGTAGGTAAATATTTAATAACATTCTCGTAGTATTTCAACGAATACCTATATGTATATAAATTATATTAGAATGACAACCATATTTAATTCTTACATGTATTATATACTTAACTGAATATTTGGCTTATTTAATATGAAAACATATCTATAACTGAACAAAATTAAAAATATATTATGTTTACAAAAATATGCATTTTAAAACAATTTACATACACTATACAGATTTTTTAGTATTATCATACTACGATGATATATTTGATCGTCTAATGTTTTTAGTGTCTTGTCCTGGCCGGTTAAAAAATTCCCAAATCGTATTTTTAATCAAATCTCAATTTTTTCAAATGGAACGAGGGTGGCTCATTAGCATATTTGGAAAAAGCATTTTTTACGAATAATTTGATACCACACACTTGGTATTTCGAGTCAAATTTTCGTTACGAACCGCAAATTAAAATTTCAAATAAATCATATGCGAAAATATCAAAAGTTGACATATTATATGTCATTCTATTCAGAGTGTTATTTTCTATCGAATAAAGTAAAAAAATACCGAGAGTGCCATTTAAAAATGAAAAGTTGCAGTAATTTCCGTTGAAACAGGAAGTGACCGAAAACAATTAAATACGCCAATCAATCCTAATTTATGTCATATACTAACATACCAAATCTCGTTTTTTAACTGAAAAAATAAAAAAGTTATAGGGGTGAGCCAGTGGCGGCTCGTCAGGTGCAGTAGGTGAAGGGGCACTTCACCGAAAAAAATACTCAAATTAAAGAAAAAACTTTACTGCTTAAAATATTAATTTAGTTTAATATATTTACATGGATCTAAATAATCAGAAGAAAACAGAAAGCATAGGAGGCAACAGAATACGGAAAAAATTAGGAAAGTCATAGAGAAGAATCAAAGTTTGAAGATATTGAGAAATAGTACAATGGGAAGAAAAGAAATACAAAAGATCAAGGATATGCACGGCAACATAGTAACACACAAACAGGAAATTCTACACTCTATTAAACTTTTCTATCAAGAACTTTACACATCAAAACAGCAGGGGATCAGAACCGACATTCGAAAGGTAACAAATCAGGGATCGGAAGAAATCCCAGAAATAACCGAGGAAGAAATTATCAGTGCCCTTAGAGATATGAAAAACAATAGAGCTGCCGGCGACGATGGACTGGTAATAGAGTCAATCCAAGAAGGAGGACCAGAAATCATCAAAGCTTTAAATGTCCTATTTAATAAATGCATTGA